ACAACATTATGGCATCAAAGGTTAGGGCATGCATCACCAATAGCAATGCAACATTTGCCAGACTTGAAGAACAAAGTGAATCAAAGAGTACAAGAAAACTGTCAAATTTATCTATTAGCTAAGCAAAGTAGGCTTAAGTTTCCTACTAGTAGTAGTAAATCTAGTTGTGTTTTTCAGCTTATGCACATTGATGTCTGGGGTCCTTACAAGACAGCAATTTATGATAGAAAGCATTATTTTGCTACATTAGTAGATGAATACAGCAGATACACTTGGATTTGCTTGTTGAATTCAAAGTGTGAGGTAATAACTGTGCTAAGGGAATTTCTGTTGCTAATAAAGAATCAATTTGGGGCTACTATTAAGGTTCTGAGATCTGATAATGGAACTGAATTTTTTAATGCAAAGTGTAATGAATTATTATCTTCTTTTGGGATTGTGCATTAGAGTAGTTGTCCCTATACTCCTCAACAAAATGGGGTAGTTGAAAGGAAGCATAGGCATATCCTAGAAGTGGCAAGGGCACTGATATTTCAGAGTGGGATACCAACTAGGTTCTGGGGAGACTGTGTAAAGACTGCAGTATACACTATCAACAAATTGCCTACAAGAGTATTGAATGGTAACTCACCTTATGAAATGTTGTATGGGAAGCCTCCTAAAATAGACCACTTGAGAGTTTTTGGGTACTTGTGCTATGCAAGTATTCTGCCAAAAGGGGATAAACTATCACCAAGAGCAAGAAGAACTGTGATGATATGATATTTAGAAACTCAAAAAGGTTATAGGTTGTTTGATCTGGATTCCAAGACTTTTCTAGTTAGCAGGGATGTTAGTTTCAGAGAGAAAACATTCCCTTTTAAGCAATCAGTAGAGCCTTCTGAAGATATATTTCTCTCATCACCTACTGAATATGCAGTTCAGCCAACTCAACATACACGTGAATCAATTTCTGGTCAATCACTGCCAGAAACAGAGTCTAACACTATCACTAGTGATGAAGCTGCCCAGCTGGAAGGAGAAGTCACTGAGACTGCAGTAGATGGCACTGATCATGTTACTTCAACAGATGAAACTACTCAGGAAATGGAAGCAGAGGTGGAGAATGAAGCAAACTTTGAATTGGACTCAGAAATGGAAAATGGAGCCCATACACCAACGGAAGCACTTGTGCATGAAGAAGTACATGAGCAACCTGTCATAAGTTCAGAATCTGTAGTTGCAAGAAAGTCTAATAGAGGAGTTAAGCCTCCTATATGGCACAAAGATTATATCACTAGTTGGACTCCTTGTTCACTCAATCACAAATCATGTTCAATATGACCATCTGCCAGCCCATTATCAATCTTATTTGACAGAGTTTTCCAATAACATTGAACCCTCTTCTTTTAGAGAAGCATCACAACATGATAGATGAATTGATGCCATGAAACAAGAGATACACGCTTTTGAGGGAAATAATATATGGGAGATAGTTGACTTGCCATCAGGGAAACAACCAATAGGCTCAAAATGGGTTTACAAGATAAAATATAAAGTTAATGGGGAGGTAGACAGATTCAAAGCTAGATTGGTGGCAAAGGGTTACACACAACAGGAAGGTCTAGATTATCATGAAACTTTCTCTCCTGTTGCCAAGATGGTTACAGTCAGAACTGTCATCAGTTTAGCAGCCTCTGAAGGATGGAACCTCTATCAGATGGATATCAACAATACATTCTTGCAGGGTGACCTCATGGAAGATGTGTATATGGACCTGCCACATGGATTCCATAGGCGGGGGGAGTCCAAAGTATGCAAGCTGTTGAAATCACTATATGGATTGAAGCAGGCATCAAGACAATGGAATATAAAATTATCTAATGCATTGCTCACTGCTGGATATTGTCAAAGTGCCTATGATCATTCCCTGTTCACAAAAAGGGGAGATGGCGGGCACATAGTGATAATTTTGGTGTATGTTGATGATATATTGATCACATGAAGCAACAGTGATCTGGTAAATGAAGCAAAGAATACCTTGCATAAGAACTTCAAAATGAAAGACCTGGGAGAACTCAAGTACTTCCTAGGAATAGAAATGATGAGGTCTGACAAGGTAATACTGCTTAATCAAAGGAAATATGCTCTTGAACTCATTTCAGAAACTGGCCTAAGTGGAGCAAAACTAGCAAGTTCACCTCTAGAACAAAACTTGAAGCTGACTACATAAGACTATGACAGACATATGCAGCAGACAGGAGATAATGAACTACAGGATATTGGAAGCTATCAGAGGTTGATTGGGAAGTTGATTTACTTGACAATAACTTGACCAGATATATGTTTTGCTGTATAGCTGCTGAGTCAATTCATGCAACATCCAAAACAATCTCACCTAGAAGCAGCTTTGAGAGTTGTGAGATACATAAAGAGATCACCTAGGATGAGAGTTTTCCTAAGGAGAGGAAGAATCACACAAGTAACTGCCTATTGTGATTCAGATTGGGCAGCATGTCCAAATACAAGAAGGTTTGTGACTGGTTACATAATCAAACTAGGAGATTCTTTGGTGTCTTGGAAATCAAAATAACAGCAAACAGTTAGCAGAAGTTCTGCAGAAGTAGAATACAGAAGTATGGCTGCTGTTACTGCAGATATAGTCTGGCTAGTTGGATTGATGAAAGAATTGAACATGGAGGTAGAAGAGCCTGTAAAATTATTCTGTGATAGTAAGGCAGCTATGCAGATAGCTGCAAATCCTATCTATCATGAAAGAACTAAACATATTGAAATAGATTACCACTTTGTAAGGGAAAAAATGAAGGAAGGATTGATAGCAGTTGAATATGTTTCAACTAAAGAGCAGACTACAAATATAATGACTAAAGCACTAGGTGTAGCACAACATCATCTTCTGATATCCAAGTTAGGAGTGTTAGATGTATTTCACCCTCTAGCTTGAGGGGGAGTATTGAGTATTGAGATTAGAAGAGTAGTGTGAACTTTTGTGTAACCTTATAAACTTTAGGGGTTAAAATGTTAGTTAGGAAAGAGGTGCACATGAGTTAGTTATAATAGTGCACCTCCTTCCAAAAATACTCTGTAATCTCTCGACTAAGTAATTCAGAAGAAATAAAAATATTCCTCCTCCCTCTCTCTACTTTCTCTCTCAAGTTCATACGCTTGAATTGGTCATTACATGTGTTAGATTTAGCTCAAACTCTCTGTAATTCAACTTCTTAACACAATGGAACATCAAAATTCCAAGGACTCCATCCTTAGGTATTCTAAATATTAAATTTGCACATAACTTTTAACTTATTCAAATATTTATTTTGTTCAGAGTCCCTCTGTAATTCCATTTCACTCTTTGTTCCCCTTCATGGAGTAGTGGCAAGGCAAACACGAAGGCATCTCTAACGGGTATGAGTATGAATTTTTATACAAATAGCCGGATAATTTTACTATTTACTTTTTCAACTGATATACATAGAGATGTATACTAATTATGCATTATACATAATAATGAATATGACCGGCTACTTGTGTAAAATCTCATTTTATACAAATATTATATATGAATTATACATATATTATATGTTTAATGGCTATATTTAATTTAAGCGGTTTGGTGGATGGTTATTTGGGTGAAATTCAAAAATAGTCAGATTTACGATTAATAATTGAAAAATAGCCACAGTTTCAAAAGTAATCGAATTTTAGCCACTTTTCATGTAAAGATAAATCTGAACGAAAATACTGTTCAAAATCAGGAAAATATTCCAGCATAAAATACTGGAGTTCGAATTTTTTACTTATGAACTTCCAGCATAATATACTTGAGTTCCATTATATTATGCTGGAACTTTCCGTGTTGCAGCAAAATAATGATTATTTTTTAATGACTTTGCAAACGGTGGCTATTTTTTAATTATAAGTCCGAAAACTAGTTAGCCCATGCTATTTCTCACTTGTTATTTGGGTTAATTCTTCAAGGAACGCAAGCTAACGTGGCCCATGGTATTGGACTCTTGGGCTAAATTGCAGGAATAATTGGACTTTGTGCTAGCAATCATGTTTGCCAACTGTACCAAATGAAAAAGATTATGAAAATTCGCTAATCGATGAAAGTAGTACATCACTAAAACATGTCACACGCATCAATTGTACGCGCTATGTACAAAGAAAAAATATGAAGAGTTACAAGTGCTTATAGATGAAGAAAAAAGTTAATGGTACTCTATTACTTTTGAAATGGATAAAGCTGAAATGATTTCATGAGAAAGAAGAACCTTGTAAGTTTATAGGTTTAAGACAAATTTGAATCAGGATTGGTTAAACGTATCATACACTTTATTATAGAATATTTTTGGATTCTTCATGCAATTCCTAAGTACTACAAATTTCTTTTCTTCGTGATTTCAATTAAAGGCTTGATACATAGTGCATATAATTAATGCGTTATGAAGTGAATTATTATGGCTGTTAATATTGAGTATAATACATGTTTTAGATGCGTTATACATAATATGATTCTCAAAACTTTTTTTCATCTATTTTTGTCTCTTGAGTCAAAATTTATAACATTTTGGGTCTGGACTCGTACTCCACATTCCAATTTTTTATGTTGTCCTTGATTTGAATTTAAGATTTTAATCTGAATTATGTATTACTCCTATTAATGCAATGAAAAGTATTCAAGTATAACAATTATAGAAAATAACAATTAAAAATAATACAAAATAATATCACAAACTGCTAACATAGATAATTTAACTATGTGAATACCCAGCTAGATATCTCAATGGTGTACGTAATACTAAACTTTCTATCTAATTATCTCGCCAAAAATAAAAGAAGAAAAAGATGAAAAATGTGTTGGGAGGATGAAGCCACCGTCCAAATGCAAAGTCCGAGACAGAAATGCACGACTGACGAGGCTGTGAACGGAACCCTATTCAATTGACAGCAACATCCAACAAATTTAAAAATCTGTCCCTATCGTTTCAGTTTTGGCCACATCTTCTGCACCATTAGCAGTAGTTCCGTGTGAGATTCTCATTTCCCCCAATTTCTTTCCTCTCCTCTAGAACTAGAATCAACCAAGTTACTCTCCTAACAAATGGCGGATTGGGGACCAGTGTTAATAGCGGTGGTGCTGTTCGTGCTGTTATCACCAGGGCTGCTGTTCCAGTTACCCGGCCGTGGAAAAGTGGTGGAGTTCGGTGGTATGCAAACGAGCGGTGCAGCCATTTTGGTCCACACCGTCATTTACTTTGGCCTTATCACCATCCTCCTCATTGCCGTTGGCGTCCATGTCTACACCGGCTAAGTATACTCGCGACTTTACTTAGATCTACTGGGTCTCTGCTCGAATCAGAAATTTTTATTTGTTGCTCTCGAATTAAGGTGTACTTTTTCTTTGGTAAAAAACTGTTAAGTATCGGTATGGATCTTAATTTGCTAAGCAGATTGTACCATTAAACTAGTCTGGTTGTTGATTTTCTTCGATTAGTTGTATATGGGGCGTTTTGCGTTAGAATCTTTGAATATTCAATATCCTTAACTATGATTCTGCCTGTCCTCCCTCGTCTTTTTCGCTTGCTGAAATAAAGAGAGGATCGAATTCCAAGTTAATACCACTTTGTAAGCAACCTAAATGACGCCCACATTGCAAGAGATATGAGTTGAGTGTTTGATTATAAACAAAGATAATAAAAGGTTGCTTAGAAACATTTTGAGTAGTTTCAGGGTACACCTGTAACTAAAAATCGTAAAGATGTGTGACTGCTCATTGCTCAATTAAGCTCAAAGTCCCTTTATATACTGCTTTTGGAGAGATCAACTCCAAAATCTCTAGAATCTTGACAATTGAACTTTTGCCACTCTACCAAAGCCTTATGTGGGTGAAAGTTGTGAACGCTTAAATTGATACGGTACATCTTAGCCAAAATGAAATTGCAATTTTATATGGATGAGCCACTTAGAGTGAACACTGTGAGAGTCCCATAGCGGGCACCTTGGGGATGGGAGGTTTCTTTAAATGGTGTTGGACAATCCTATCCCGTGACATATCTCGTGACAGAAGTTGAATTAGGCCCAGAATTTATTTTTTAATCATGGTGTCGGAGCTAAGTCCATCGCAGTTTATTGTTTACCCGATGTTGAGCCCCCATCTTATATAGTTCACGCTCCAGTTGTCCTGTCTTGGGCGTGCGGGGGTAAGTTAGGTTGCTAGAGTACATCAAGCACTCTAGAGTTAGAGTTTGTCACACCCCTTTTCTACTCCAAAAGATATGTGTTATGATCTTGGGTTAAAGGGTTTTTTCAATTAAAGTGACAAATTTAAGTAGAGATTATTTTATTTACAGAGTCGTCATTTGAAATTGATTTTTGGGTGTTTCAAGTCACCTTTTATTTGAATCCCTAGTCAAAGGAAGGTTTGACTCTATTATTATTGGTCTGCAAAAATAAAGTTCGGGTAAGGAATTCTGTTGACCGAGGAGCAGGTGTAAGGTATTCCCCGAGTCTCGTGGTTCTAGCACGGTCGCTTTATTGACTTAAACTTTGATTGAATTAATTTTGGATAAACTGTGATTTATTTGATTTTAAAGTTTTTTTCTATGTCCGTTTTTATTGTTGATGACTTTATTAATCTCAAATTAGGACGAATATCCCAGACCTTAGTTTGTGCATCGCAACCTAAAGTTTGAAGCCTACGCGAATTTAAATAAAAGCCTTATTCGAGAAAATTGGAGCAACACGTGTCTTCACGACCTTGCCATTTTATTTATGTCTTTATTCCGAAGCGAGTCTTCCCGACATCGGTTAAGACAATTAATTATCTTTGTTAACTTTGTTATTGAAGTTAGATTGCGGAAGAAGGTTGTTCATCCTTATTGTGAAAAGGAAAACTTTTTTGTTGTTATAAGAAATATCAAATTATGGTGGATGTCCCGACCTTAGTTCGTGCATCGCAACCTAAAGTTTGAAGCCTACGCGAATTTAAATAAAAAGCCTTATTTGAGAAAATTGGAGCAACACGTGTCTTCACGACCTTGCCATTTTATTTATGTCTTTATTCCGAAGCGAATCTTCCCGACATCGGTTAAGACAATTAATTATCTTTGTTAACTCTGTTATTGAAGTTAGATTGTGGAAGAAGGTTGTTCATCCTTATTGTGAAAAGGAAAACTTCATTGTTGTTATAAGAAATATCAAATTATGGTGGATGTCTACTCTTCCTCCATAATCTTAATCTCATATGCTTAATGACATATTCAATGGCATATTTTCTATGTTTAATGACATATTTTCTTTACTTTTTATGCCTATATAAAGGCCTTGTAATAGATAGGAAAATACACACAATTGAAGAAGAAATAAGAATCTCTTCTCTTCTCTATATATCTTTTAGCTTGTTTTTTCTTGTTCCATATTGTTACTTTGAGTTATATTTTATATCACGTTATCGGCACGAAGTTCTAGCTAACTGAGTTGTTATGATGCGGCCAGTGCCGATAGCGTCATTTAATATTTATAATATGGTAAGAACGATGACGGTATAAGGTGTATAACGCTAGCATATATTCGGCCATCACGGTTAGCCTTTTCTAATTAGTTTTCAAGTTTCTTTACACTTTGCTATTTATGTTTTCATACATGAACAAACTTGCTTTACGGAAAAGTTTTTCTTGAAAGTTCATCAAATCATGTAAGGATTTTTGGCGTAAAGAACGATAAATATTTTTTCAATAACAAGTATTATGTTCCTATGTATTAATATTAAGAAATACAAAGTGAAGACTTTTTGAGAGAGCACATATTTTTCCTTTCAATTTTATCACATATCTCTTCCATCTTAAAGTGGGATAATTATCACAAAGGACACGTAGATTTTAATTGATTATGTGTTTTTCTATATTTGCTTGATACTTTTTATTTGATTGAGTTCAGTTAATGAAAGTTCGCATATGCAAATTAAATTCAATTGCGACCAATAGTGGAAACCCGTCCCATAAGTCTAAAATAAGACATGATGTTACCGTGAAGGTATGAATGGATATGGACGTGGTAATGGACGAAATTATAATCGTCATCATTATGGTAATGAGAAAAATAATGGTTCTCAAAATAATCATTCACTTTGTGGAAGTGATGTTTGCCATTGATATGGCATGAGATTTTATAAAGCACACATGGATTATTATGTTCCATTCCTGAAGTGAATGTGAAAACAATGTGATAATCATTATGAATACATATTCATTCTTGGAAGAATATGAATGTGCTAGTGGTAGTAAATATACCACTCACCTCGAGAAGGGAGTTTGAGATGAAATAAGAAAATAATGTCATTATTATGGTATGAATGGTCATTGGTCATGTACCTATTGTACGCCAAAATATTTTGGCAATGTGATTATTAAAGGACAATAATAATGCATGAAACAAATCTTGCATCTAATTTTAACCATGACCATAATGATATAACTTTCTCTTTAAAAAGAGATATTCACCATATAGATGTTGATGAATATATGGTAGTACAAAATTAATTGAAGGTTTTGGAAGAGCTACTATAACTCTGTCTAAGGGAACAATATTTATCATAGAGAATGCAATGTTCTCCTCCAAGTCCAAGAGGAACTTGTTGAGTTTTAAAGATATCCGCCGAAATGGATTTCATATTGAGACAATAGATGAGAATAATCTCGAATATCTCATCGTTACCAAGAATGTCTCTGGCCAGAAAAGGGTTATTGAGAAATTCCCATCTTTATCTTGTGGCATGTATTGGACAAGAATTAGTGCAATTGAGGCACATTCTATCGTAAACCAAAAGGTTACTAATTCCAATACTTTTGTACTTTGGCATGATCGATTGGGACATCCCGGATCAATTATGATGAGACGAATTATAGAGAACTCAAATGAGCATCCATTAAAGAATTTAAAGATTTTTTTAAATAATGAATTTTCTTGCATTTCTTGTTATCAAGGCAAGTTGATTATTAGACCATTACAAACAAAAGTTGGGATTGAGTCCCCTGCATTTTTGAAACTTATACAAAGGGATATTTATGGACCTATTCACCCACCTAATGGGTCGTTTAGATATTTTATGGTCTTAATAGATGCATCTTCTAGATGGTCTCACGTATGCCTATTGTCATCTCACAACCAGACATTTGCAAAATTAATGGCACAAATAATTCGATTACGGGCATAATTTTTCGATAATCCAATTAAGTCTATTAGACTTGATAATGCCACTGAGTTTTCATCCCAAGCATTTAATGATTATTGCTTATCAATTGGGATAAAAGTGGAACATTATGTAGATCATGTTCACACTCAAAATGGCCTTGCAGAATCTTTGATTAAACGTCTGCAATTGATAGCAAGACCATTACTCATGAAAATCAAGTTACCCACTTCAGTTTGGGGTCATGCCATTTTGCATGCAGCAATGTTAATTCGTCTCAGACCGATATATCTCATCTAAGTATTTTTGGATGCGCTGTATATGTGCCTGTAGCACCGCCATATTGCACCAAGATGGGTCTCCAAAGAAGGTTAGGAATATATGTTGGGTTTGAATCGCCCTCAATTATTCGCTACCTTGAAACATTAACGGGAGATTTCTTCACTGCTCGATTTACAGATTGTCGATTCGGTGAGATATTTTCTCCAAAATTAGAGGGAGAAATTGGTGAAACCAAACGTGAAATTTTATGGAAAAATACATCATTATCTCATCTTGATCCACGTGCCTCTATTTATGAAAAAGAGGTGCAAAAAAATTATTCATTTGCAGAAAATAGCAAATCAAATACCGGATACATTTACGGATCAGAAAAGGATAGCGAAATCACATATCCATGCGGAGAATCCAATCCGTATTGATGTCCCTGTTGGACAATCTTCTAATGTCATAGCTAATGAGTCAAAAGCACGCCTAAAACGTGGCAGACCATTGGGTTCTAAGGATCGAAATTCTAGAAAAAGGAAAATAAATGATCAAGATGACACTACGAAAGAGTCTCATATAGAAACCCATGATTTAACCAATCCTGAGATTCATGAGGATATCGATGAGCCTGAGACTCAAGAAAATAAGGAACTATCAATAAATCCAATCGATATTGAGACAAATTTGAATCGATTGAATATAGTGGTTGATTATGTGTTTGCATACAATGTTGCATCTAGCATTATGCAAGATAATGAGTATCTTGAACCTCAATCTGTTGTAGAATGTCGACAAAGGCGTGATTGGCTAAAATGGCAAGAAGCAATCCAATCTGAGTTAGATTTACTTGCGAAACGTGAAGTTTTTAGGCCTATAGTCCAAACACTTAATGGTGTTAAATCTGTTGGCTATAAATGGGTCTTTGTACGTAAAAGGAATGAGAAAAATGAGGTACAAAGATATAAGGCACGCCTTATTGCACAAGGATTTTTACAAAGGCCTGGTGTCAATTATGAAGAGACGTATTCTCCTGTTTTGGATGCTATAACATTCTGTTATCTCATTAG